AGTAATATAACACTATTATTATTAGATTTAGAAGCTTCAAGATCGTATTTTACAATATGTTAATTTGTTGTTAAATGCAAGTGTTTTATGTTCGGAACTTGATTGGTTGGTTTATTATATTTATATTTATTTTGATTTTTTAAAAAGATGCCAAATAAATAATACTAATTGATTAATCGATTCAGTCTTCTTTGTTTAGCAGAGTCAGCAAGACGTTACAGGTACACACTTCCAATTGTAACAGAAGAGAATATAATAAAGGTTGAAAAGGGAAGGTAATTAATTAATTAATCAATCAATTATAAAAAAAATACCCATTAATTTGTCTTTTTTTAAATAAATATATTGGGAAGGCATCCTTTACAAGAACTTTGTGTTGAAGTATTCGTAGCAAACGATACATTTATTGAGGGCGGTCACGGGACTTTAATTGATGACGACTATCAAGATACAACGATGACGAATATGAATACGAATGGTCTATATGAATCTTCTAAATCTAATAATAATAGTGTTATATTACTTAGCGGTGCAAATTTTTCTGGTAAAAGTGTTTATTTAAAACAAGTTGCTTTAATCACTTATATGGCTCATATTGGAAGGTAATTTAAATATTTACGTGTATATAAATTCTAACACTAAAAATTAATAACAAATTGCTTTATAAGTTTCGTGCCGGCAGAATCTGCTATAATTGGATTAACGGATAAAATTTTTACTAGAATACAAACTCGAGAAACAATATCAAAGGTAAATTAAATAAAATAGAATTTTTTTAATACCTAACCTAAAAATTTTTTTTTTAAAGATTCAAAGCGCTTTTATGATTGATCTTCAACAAGTTTCATTTGCTCTTCGAAATTCAACTTCAAAATCATTATTAATAATCGACGAATTTGGAAAAGGAACTGGTTCCACCGGTATAAATTTGTGTAAAAAAGAATATATTAATTTTACAAAGTTGTATATAAATACAAGTATAATAAATAAAAATAGATGGAGCTGGATTATTTTGTGGTGTAATTGAACATTTATTGAAACGTGGTCATAATTGCCCAAAAGTTATTGCTGCAACACATTTCCATGGTATTTAAATTATTATAATTACTTGTTCTTTTAAAAAAATTCCTTCCTCGTAATCATAATGCTTTGTTGTTAAATTTTTTTTAAATAAAAGAAATCTTTGAAAATGATCTTCTATCAGCATCTCTTCCAATTACATTAGCAACAATGGAAATTTTTAAAGATGATCGTGACGAAGAATTAACTTTCTTGTATCGGTAAAATAAAATTCATTTTTTTTTAATACTACTATGATTAATGAGCTAAAAATACATTTATTGATAATCGCTATGGATATTTTAATTAGTCTTGTTCAAGGTCGTAGCACTTCGTCTTGGGGTACATTTTGTGCCGCTATTTCAGGAGTTCCACTTCATGTAGTTGAACGAGGTAAACAATTATAATGATAATGATAGTAATAAACATAATTATCTAAATAATAAATATAGTGTAAGTATGTTTATTTACAACAACCTATAGCAAAGTATCTTTCGCAATTATTTTCACGTTACGAATCAATTCCACCACCTTTTGGTGATCATATAGAACAACGTTCCTATACCAAATATGAACAAGTTGCTAGAAAATTCTTGCAGTTGGATCTAAAACATCCAGAAGTCGATTTTAATGATTTTTTAGATTGGATCAGCAGAGAATGTGTTTAAAAAATAATAACTGGTCGTTGGGCAAATATATTGATTGTGCAATACGTATTGAATGTACCATAACAAAGTGAAAAATTTCATCATTCATATTAGTTGAGTAATGTCTAAAAAAAATTAAAGAATGTAATATTGATATAGCAAGCAAGAAAAAAAATAAACTGTTTTTTACAAATACTATGAAAAACCAAAGTTCAATTTGTGTTTGAACTTTAATATTTTCTTAGGGATTACTTATTGAGTGTTTATCCAATTTGATCAAAAAAAAATTTCTGTAATTACCATTTATATACTGCATAAACAACTTATAAAAATAAACCATACCTTTGGAAAAGATTTTTTCTTATTCTTCTTGTATTAATTATTAAATTCATGTTGGTCTCAGCAGAGAAAATAAAATACAAGTTGAAATACCAGCAAGGAAAAAACGAAAGAAAAATAAATTCATTCAAAAAAAAACCGAAACAGAAAATTCCTTCCCAAAAATCAAGTTTGATTTTTTCGACATCTCGACTCCAACATGCCATGTGACTTTTCTCTTCCCTTCTCGGCATGATCACATCATGGTCGATAGAAAAAACTTTAAAAAATACTGAATGTTGCACCGAATTGATTTTGTCGTTAAATTAATTAAATTTGGAATTTGTCATTTTATTATTATTATTTTTCTTTTAAAAATCAAATTAACATGGAAGACACACCCCTTAATGCGGTATACAACTTTAAATTTCACAGTCTTTTATGCTTTTTGTAAATTAACTCATTCCATTAATATGCAATTTTATTAAGGCACATAGCTTTGCAAATGCCGCAGAAGAATTTGAAGATAAAGAACAGTATGCGAAAGCTATGGAGGCACATTTCCGTGCAGCTGGTAAATATTTTTTTAACCTTGAAATTTCTTTTACCTTGACCAAAAAAAACTTTATTAAATAAAAATATTAATGTTTTATATAGAACAGTTTTTAAATGCAACAAATCTAACATCTGATCCAGAGGTATTGTATAAATGATTTAAAGAAAAAATATTATTTTATTTATTTACAAATGTTTTAATGATAGGCAGTTCGAACATTGAAAAAACTATACTCTAATCATAACCGACAAGCAAAAGACTTACAACGTCGAATAGATAAACAAACACAACAACAACAACAGCAACAACAACAGCAGCAGCAGCAGAAGAAGAAACAACAGCAGCAGCAGCAGCAGCAGCAGCAGCAGCAGCAGCAGCAACAACAACAACAACAACAACAACAGCAACAACAACAACAACAGTCATCAAAACAAAAAGAAGGCTCAACCAATTCATCATCAAATCATAATAAAAAACAAATAAAACAAAATGTATTATTGTCTAAGAAATCAGCAGAAGTATTTAATTCTCAAGGGAATAATAATAAAAATACATTTAAAATTGTTAATAATGTAGCAATTGCTACTACTACTCCTAGTAGTAATAACAGTCGTAATACCGGTGCCACGATCATTAAAGGAAGGATTGGATCACAAACCAATAATGATACATTAGAAGTTCCAAACGGCATTGGAAGAAGTGGTAGATATTAATATAAATAAATAGAATGATTGATTGATAATATTTTAATATTGATAATTAATATTGATAATGATGATGATGATAATAATGAACAAAGCACTTATTATGATGATCTTTATATCTAATGCGTAAAATGAGATTAGCTATCGATTCTTCTTTAAACATTGCCGAAAGTACAATGACAACAACATCATCAGGATCCGAAAAAACCATCGAAGAGTCTTATATGGTACTTAAAGGCAATAACGATTCAACCGATGTAAGTTATATTATTATTATCTATGATTATTATTATAATCCATTTATGTTGTTGGCATATATATATATACAAATTCACAAAATGGTTAAAAATTTTTTTTTCCTTGATAAATTAGGACGATGATTCAGATCCATTCAACAAATTTTGGGGTATTGTTGAATCTTTGGTTCAAAAAATATCTAATCCGGTCGCATTTGCCACCGTACCACTCAATGGTACAGATTCTGCCACACAATTTGATTCTAATGTTATGCCGTCTACATTACCATTTCGTTATAATATTAATAATAATAACAATAATATTGATAGTTTAGAAATCAATAATAATGGTACAGTGATTTTTAAATTTTATAAGAATTATATATTATTATAATATTGTTTGTCTAATAATAATTTTTTATATGTGTAGATAACGAATCCAAAGCAGAGGAATTGAGTGCGGCAATGATGGAGTCTTTTTTTGTTATACCTAAAGATCAAAGATCAGGACCTGGTTTACATTCACATCTCAAATCTCGAACACAATTATCATCTGCAAGGTTGAAAATAATTTTATTTACTTGTCAATATATTTGAGTAAGGATTATACTAATTTGATACAAACACATATACATAATATATATATAGCAAAGCATCACTCAAAACTATAGAAGAATACGCTATAGAAAATCAGCAACTTAAAAATGCAATTGATGCCATGTCAAAAAGAATGCAAGCATATGAAAAGGTATTATATTATTTATATATGTGTGTATGCTTATATAATCTGTATATTGAATCTATATATGCGTAGGCCGCAGAAGAGGGCAATATGTTAAAAAGTAGTATTTTACAATTTAAAAATGATTTTCAAAAACAGGTTAGTAGTATCAATAAAACTTATTACTTTTTTTTGGATGATTATATTACTAGAAATGCCAACGTTAATAAATATTGATATTGATAAACAGGCAAAGTTAATTAAATTAAGTCAAGAAATTTCAAAATCATCACCTATGATTAAACAAGGGTCACCAGAAAATTCAACCAGTCAGTAGATTTATTTTTTATTTTTTAATTTACAATATTATTAATGCCATCGTTGATTATTTAATAATTGATTGATTAATAATTCTAACTTTACTATAAAAAGTTGGAAGTATTAGTTATCTTCAAAAACGTATAAAAGAATTAGAGGCAGAAAATGAAAAAGAGGTAAATAAATTAAATTAAATATTTATAATTTTAAGTACTTATTTATCAATTGATTAATTAATTAGAAAATGCGAAGCGAAAAATATAAAGATCGTTGGGAAAAATTGAAGGAGTCAGCTATAAAACGAAAAAATAAACAATTAGAAACTTCTGCTATAAATTCAAATTTAAACTAAATATTAAAATACATTAAAATATAGATTTTATATATATATATATATATATATAGTTGTTAAAAAAACATTATTTTGACAAAAAATAATCATAATTATATAAATATCTTTTATTATTATAAACATTGTCTATAATATGAATAAAAGTGAAAAATATTATTATAATAATTATATACAATTATTGCTACACAGCCAATATATTACTATTACTTATTATTTGTAAAATTAAATTAACAATAAAATTCTATTATGAGATGTGATTCTAATTTGATTGATTTCTTCAAAGAGAAAAAAAATTAAAAAAAAATTCTAGAATTACAAAAAATTACAATTAATAAATTTCTAACTCAAGCTAAATGATGTGAATAATAATATTTTGTTAGTTAAGGATTAATAAATTAAGATCGTACCAATAAAAAAAATCATTGCAGTATATATTAATATGCACTCAAAAGGATACAAATAAAAATGAAGATTTTAATGGATTCCTAAAGTTGAGTCCTTTGCGATTATATAATGTGTGATTTTCATCGTCCAAATATTTCAATATTTCATCTATTCTCTATTGGAATATATATGTTATTAGAAAAGATTCAACAGTGAACACCACTAAACATCATAAAAATGAATGAATAAATCTACCTTATCATAATTTGATTTTATACAAAATGTTGATGTATAAATTGTTAAACATGTCAAAAAATTATCAAGTATATTATATTTGGGGTGGTGGGCTTTTTCTAAAAGCTCATTAAGTTTATCAATTGTTTTTTGAAATCTTCGTGGCTCTATCTAGTAAACAGTTGGAGAAAATAATGATCATTTTGTTAATGTAAATTCGTCACTGATAGGAAATGATTCGGATTGGGGGTTTTTCGTTGAAAAGTTTAATATAAATACCCTTCCATCAATTTCCAACGGGAAAGCTGTTTGAAATTGACATAATTCTCCTCTTGTAAAGTCCCTTTCTATCCTAACGAGTGTTAGCATGATGTGTAACCAACCGGAAGTCTCACTAAAATTTTCTTTTTCTTTTAACAATGGAGACCAATTTATTATTAGTAATGAATGAAAAAATCTCGTGCCAAAAAAGGAAACTTGTTTCCTTTATAGGTAAGATAATCATATTTCCAAATCTTTATATGGGGCATACTGCAACAAAACCAGACAAAGTGAACATTGGTATAACCAAGAATTTTAGGGATCAAAATTTAGTCATTTGTAATGTGATCATAATTAATATCCCATTTACTATCTTAGTGATATATAGAACTATTTCTATATAAAAATAGTTAATATGAAACTAATTTACATCAGATCTACTATGGAACCAAAGAATTATAGCACCATTAGAAGTATTTTGAAGAAGGAACAAGGTGAAAAAATTGCTTCAAATATTTTTAAAATAAATGATACTCAAACACTTGAAGCTTATCTAAGAAAAGAATAGATTACTTATGAAATTTACCAAGAAGAAAGAAAAATAATAAACATTAGAAAAAGGAAGCAGAATGAAAGTGTACTATTACCTAACAAAAAGCAAAATCTTTGGAAGAAGTAAAATAAATGCAATGAATCTTATTATTGCATATTTATCTATCTATTTTTATCTTTCTCAGTGAGATTTCTGAAACCAATACTAATCTTCCACTCCAACTATAATTTTCTCTCTTGTAATTGAGCATTGATTTTTTTTATGCTATCGAAATTCGCGATTTTGATTGATTACATGGTTAAAATTTTGTGTTACTAGAACGGTCTCAAATATATAGATGTATTTGAACTCAATGCAGTCATTTAGTAAGAACTTTTTAATTAAGTGATGATTATCTTTATTATGATGTTTTATTGTTAAATGAAAAAAAAACATAAAATATCATTTTTTCTTGAAGTATGGCTTTTAATGAGGACAATGAATAACACATTTTAAATTTCCTGATGGTGTCTTGGGTATTTATTACAAGATTTCTTATGATAAACGATTGGTATTGAAAGAAAAACGATATTGGAAGTTGAATTTTCAAATGTAAATATTAACTTAATCGAAGAAGAAATTTTGAACAAACAAAATTATGATGTGCAAGATAATAATGAATCAGGAACAGACATTATTACACAATTTAACAGTTATCTATGAGTAGATAGAGGTTCTTCAAGAGGAAGAAAATGATTCTTTAAATGAACTTTTAGAACTTTATGATACAGATGTTCAAAGTACTGAACATCCAGCAATAAATTCTGATGGGAAGTGGAAATTGGAAACCATATTAAAAAATAATATACCTTGTTCTTTTTAATAAAATTAATAAAATCAATATAAATTAAATTCGTCCACGTTTAAACTAATAATTCATACAAATCACAATGACATTTCATACAATGTACGAAATTTTTTTGAAGCCTCCTTGTACAGTACAATACATCCAATTAATT